TTGAGCTACATCCTCGTGTTCAGGAACTGTATTTCCCTATGACTTTCCCTGGACAGTGTCGCACACACCACCGGTGTTTGGTACAGTCTCACTGAATGGTCGGGTGACCCCCCTTCTTCCTGGGTTCCTCCAAAAATGAACAATCACAGAAACTATGCCAATATGAATACGTGCATGTTTTTCACGCTCTGTGCTTAAATACTGGCAGCAACTGTGTCTAAGACAGAACATGGGTATATTGAACAGGCTTCAGATCCAAACAGTTTTAAGGGAGTTATCATTTAGAACTCCTATCCTCTAATGTACCCCCACTTGTGTCTGTGATTAATGGTTCACAGCTGATGTAGAATAGATTAAAGAATTTATATAAATTTAATTATATTTCCCCATATACTTGCCCTAATGAAATTAACCATACGTCCTATAGGAAAGAGTCCCTGCATGGATTAAATTGAAGTGTATGGCAAGGCATGGACCACACTGGCAACTAAGCTGGTGGAAAGCTTGAACGGCCCCTCCCTCTCCCTTCCCACTCTTAAGGGAAAGTCAATAGAATGTTTCCTGTTACTTCTTGTAGTTCATGAAAGCACTGAATCTAAGCTCCATGGGACCTGGGCAGTGTGTACCTTGTTCGGGTTCATATGGCCTCTGCTCTGAGGTAGGCCTGGGGACTCAGATGTGACTTCATAAGGAATATGGTTAGTAGATTGTCTTCCCACAACAATCCAGGCAAATGTCTACCCTCACTTTCCTTCCCCGTCCTGGGCAGCTCCGAGGGGAAAGGCAAGTAGGGCAGCCACCAAGCTGGTGCTGCCGTAATTAACATGTCAGGGCCGCAGGTTGGAAAGCTGGTGTTCTGTATGGCGTTAAGAAAGCGAGGACCCCCGACACTGGCAAGCGGGGCAGGAAGCTCACTTGTAGATATGCCCACTGCTTGCCACCCCCCATCCCCATGCAGCCAGTGCCTGAGCCCTTGGATCTAGGTGTTCAGGGGCATTTTCCCCTCACGGGTGACTTTGATCAGAGCTGATGGTCAAAGACCGCAGGGATCGCTTCCGAGGTTTTAACTTCCCCGAAATAGAGTATTCTCATTTTGCCAACTCCCTCAAGAAAATGTTGGGAGAATCAAGTGCAGAGCCCAAAGGCACTTGGAATGTGCCCTTCCAAATGAGTCCTCCTCTGAGCCACTGCATTACTCAGGACAGCTGATTTCTCTCTGAGAACCGTCCCTGTGCTTACGGTTGGCAGCTGGCAACCCTTCAACTTGCTCCTCATGAGTCTGGCACTCTGCTCTCCCAAGCTTTACTGAGTTGAACTTTTACATTTCTGTATTATTTTCTTTATTACTATCCAATGGAATTAGAATGTTTCATTTTGAAATGTAGAATTAAAATGGGGGAAGACTAAGGAAATAATTTCATATAAAACCATATACACATTTATTTTAATAAAGTGAAAATAAAGTAAAAATCTCCTTGACTTAATGATCTAATTTTCCTGTAAAGTCAATGTAAGTTTTAAATTAGGACTTTGGAATTATGTGATTAAAAAAGCCGAGTAGTCTGTATGACGGGCAAAGTACTAAACGCATGCCTTGCATTCATTCTGAAAGTTGTTCTCCTGGTTCAAAAGTGATTTATTGTGGAAAAATATTTTAAAATACAGAAATTGAAAGACAATTAGTTATAATCTTACCACTCAAAGTTAAGTGCTGTTAACATTTATATATACACATACAGAGAGAAACACACAGGATTATTTTGTATGCACCGAGGATACACTCTTCTTTCTTTGAACCCCAAGTGGGTGCTCCTGCCCATGCTATTTTGTATCTGTGTCAGGATTCATTTGACTTCTGGAAACAGAAACCCTAACTTCAATAAGTTTAAACGTGAATGAAGTATATCACCTTATGAAATAGGAAGCCAGAGAGGATTGGCTGCGGGCTGGTTGGGTCATTGACTGGGTCAGGTTATCAAGGCAAAGGACTTAGCTACTTTCTTTTCTCCCTGTCCTGCCACCAATGTCATCAGCTTCATGCTAAGGTTGTTCCCTTCGTGGCCATACAGTTGCCACCGTGAACATCTGGACATCACGCTTCTTCATTCACGTCTGGTGGAGGACGTGGAAATCCTGCCCTTCCGTCTGGTGAGAAGAACTTGGGCATGACTGCCTCAGAGCAAGGACAGTCACCAGATACCTGCCCCAGGCCAACCGTCTCTAGCCCGGATTCCTCTGTCAGTCCCTGGCAAGAGGGATTGGATCACCGTGACTGGTTTAGACTGGTTAGCGTCAATTCTCCAAACCAGAGGCCTACTGTAAAATGGTGAGAATATGGAATAGATGTGGGAAGTCAGCCCCCAGCTCAGTAACCTGATGTTTTCCCAGAATGTTTTATGGACACGTAGGAGATTCACAGGAAAGGATCACTTAGCTTACTTTCTCATCATCACCCTCACGCTATTGTCTAATGTGCTTTGACTTTCAAAATTCTGTCCCTCCTGCTTTTGTCTACACACGCTTTCCCCAGCATTGCGAGGGTGGCTGGCAGCCTCCAAGTGTGGGACCTCCTGCCTGGTCTCCAACAGGGGTGAGAGCTCGCCCCCAAGTGTGTGCCTCCCCTTTGTCCAGCCGGGCAGCCTGGGTCCCATGCCACTTCCTCGGGTCTTGCATGTGGTACCCGTACTTGAATTGGCCTCTGATGACCAAGAGCCAAAGCTGGTGCTAGGGAGGGCCAGCTTCATGGCATACGTGGCGGCCTGGGCCAGGCATGGGCACAGCAGAATTATCGGGGTCTGTTAGGGAGGAAGACTCAGAATGAATGCGTGGTAAATGACCTGCTTCAGTGTCTTTAAAAACTGCTCTGTTCTTAAGCATTATAACAATGATCTGAATTATCTGAAATTAAGAAGAATGTCTTCAGATGGTTCAATTTTCATTTTAAAAACTCAGTTTCTTTTGTAGAAATGCTCTGCTCAAAAAGAGTTGGATGAGAAGAAAGAATAAAGTCTTCTGGGGAACTGATCCTCATTAATCTAGTGTTCTCTAAAGTTTTGGCATTTTTGTGCTGTCTTTTTTGGCTTAGACAAGTTTTTTTTCTTAAGTTTTGACTTAAAATCGTTCAGAAATTAAAACCTAGAAGGGCAAAAAATGAACTTAAAGATACAAATTATAATAGATGTAAGCTTTAATATTTTTATTCTTTATGTACTTTTTATTTTCAATACCCTTGAGACAATGTCATAAATAATATAGAGAATTAATAGGCATTTTTGAAGAATAATTCTGAGAGATACTAGGCATATTTGAAATTACTACAGCAAAAATTAGATGTTAGGGAAAAAAGTTATGACATATTCAGTTTTTTAAATTGTACTATTAAATGTGTAACTTAGGTGTAATAAATATTCATATTTAATTTTAGGTGCCAGGGTAACATATACTAAAATAAAATGGAACAATTTCTATGGCTCTATAAAGGAATCTATAAAGGAGTCATAAATAATTATAGTAAAACTTCTTTGAGGTATTTTTATGGGACTAAAAATTGAAAACTTGTTAATAGGGAAATTTTCGTAAGTGAGAAAGGAGGTAGGTTAGTCACAGAGACCTCAAACTGCAATATATCCTGTGGAACCCTGAATAAGCAGTAACTTTGTAAGATAATCTTGTATAATGTGCAAAAGTGGAGAGTGTCTAAAGGGGCTTTCCAGAAAGTAACAGGAAGAAAAAGATTATTATTATAGTAAAATTCATGATTGGTCATGCAGTTTGCATTTTTTTTTTAATGTTACAGAACAGAGATCTTACCTGAATTTGGAAGGGCTGCAACTGTCTAAGATTTAAAATGAACAAATAAACATATTCCCTGTAGAGTAACAACCTGTGGGCAGCAACACAGCTCACTCCAGATCCTGGGTGCTTCCGGCATTTGAATAAGAGCAGGGACAAAAGGGCGCTTGGGTGCTCAGAATGTGTGTCTTTCTTGCAACGCCCAGTCTACCCTTTGTATTTTTTTGCTTTGTTATCAAATTCTGCAAATTATAGCAAGAGCAAAGGACTACTAGGACACTTATTTTCATTGAAAGCTGCTTGGATTTATGGAAGTTATATCTTTGTTACTTTTCTTCCTCTTCTTTTAAATAAGTACTCTGGTGAGTCTGTGTGTGATCTGCCCAGCAGAGCACTAGTCCACATGTGGGAAGACAGGTCCTCTCCCTCTGGTATTGTCATGTTGCTCTGTTACCTTGAACAAATAACTTAACCTCTATGATCTTCCTTTTCTCATTTCTAAAGAGAAGGTGGTGGGTCAAATGTGTCTCTGAGGTTCCTTTTTGCAGCAGAACTGGGGTATACGAGAGGGTCTCAATGATGATGGGCTAGACCGTGCTCTGGAACGTGGGGAGGTGGCCCGGGTGAAGAATGTGCAGTCTTAGCTTTTGTGGTTATGGGAAAATCAAGTGGAAGGGGTCAGCACTGCCCATTGGCAACTTTTCTTCAACCCACTAGTTGAGAAATAGAGGTACAGAAGCTCTAATGAGGCTCCTTGGGAGGTGAAGGAAATTGCAGTGAATTCTTTTGCCCCCAGTCCAGGTTTGGGGAGATTCAGCCCTGCATTTGCTAGGTTTGTGACCATTATGTGATCAAACAGCCCTACTTGAAGGGAAAAGACCAACTCTTCTGGAATTTCTTCTAACTTGTTACACATTCCCAGAGGAAACTTTGAGTTTCAACATACCTTAGATATATCTGTTCCAAAATGTTGTCTTCCTCACAGCCAAGGGTCAGAGGGTTCAGACCCTCCCCGCAGGAGTGTAAACTGGGCCAGAGAAGACTTAGCCAACACCATATTCCTGAGGTCTGCCTGTACGTTTGTTTTTTTATCCTTCTAGCTTTTCTGCATCTTGGACATTCCTTTCTAGTTGGCCTAATAAATTAATTTGCCTTACGAACAAGAAGTCCCATGGAGTGGTTTTGACACTGTCTCTTGTCTGACACAGAGCCATCACTCTGGAGAACCAACTGGTGATCCTCGCCGCGACCGCGAGTGACGCCGGGGCTTACTACGCGCAGGCCGTCAACGAGCGGAACGGGGAGAACAAGACCAGCCCGCTCATTCACTTGAGTGTCGCAAGTGAGTTTTGAAATTTCGAATAGTAATTCTGAAAGCAAAAAAAATCTTGATTTAATTAATATATGTCTCATGGGACATTTCGCAGTAAATCCCTCTCTGAGATAGTGGTGATGGTTTAAGATTGATCCAGTGCCAATAGCTGCTTTCTTTGAAGTGGTATGCAGAAAATGGAGCACAGCAGATAATTCTGACTGTGAGCTCTTATCTGATTGGGGATTTAAAATATTTTTGCTTTTGCGGACTGTTACTGCATACTGTTTTGAACAACAACAAAAAATCCTGATTTATAAGGAATTGTATCTATGAACCTTCTTTGGGACTAGATTAAGCACAGGTTATATAAGTTTAATTTAAAAATAAGATCTTTGAGAAAATACATATATGCTAAGTTGTTTTAAAATTAGCAGTATTTCTTTTTTCGAATTTTTATGCATTTATTTTTTTAGAGATAGAGAGCAGGGGGCAGAGGGAGAGGGAGAGAGAGACTCTTAAGCAGGCGCCACACCCAGTGCAGAGCCTCACACAGGCTTTGATCTCATGACCCTGAGATCATGACCTGAGCCGAGCAAAAGTCAGATGCTTAACTGACTGCTCCACTCAGGTGCCCCAAATTAGCAATATTTCTTAATTTTAATCAGCTGACCATTTTTTTTTCCCTACCTGATTTAACTGAATAATGAAGAGAACACAAATCATAGTTACACCTTTAGTTTATTTAAGGAAATTTTAGTTTGTGAAAACTAAGTTTGAGGAAACTTAAACATTTGGCCTTTAAAAGAAGGCTCTAAAAAGTCGACTAGCTAGAGCTGATTACTGCAGCGGGGGAAATGGCCAGAGGCAAAAGCTCTGAGCTACAGGAGATTAAAATGTGCATCTCTCAGGGCAGGTCACCAGATGTTGGCAGCGTGAAGTTTCTTGGGATGAAATGCAATGACACTGTTCCTAAGAGCATACAGTTGGGAAATGGTTGTAAATTTCAAAACTTGATGATCACATCAAACAAAAACGAATTAAACGGGTTTGTCTGTATAGTAGTAGATGTTGTCTCTTTAGGAAACACCTTGAAGGGACAGCTTTTCCCTGCAGATAGTTTAGGAAGTCTCATGTCATACATAGGATTGGATCACAGTGTTTGCTCCTCGTGCTCCCCGAGGGTTATGATTACGTGAAGTTGAGTAGGACTGACTGGGTGAATGTCTGTAGCAAACATGGGGCAGGAGACCACAGGGTTAATTGAGTGTGCTGCCACGGGCCTGTCACCTTCCTGGTAGGTGCTCCTCAATGGCCATCATCCTGCCGTCAGCACCTCATTCCTCGGAGCTGAATCCAGGTCTCCAGACCACAGACTAGGTGCAGACTGGGCTATCACTGTGGCCTTTTTAATGCCTTGGAGAGTTATGTGCATTGACTGGATGTGGGCTTCACAAAACACAGGCCATGATGTGCTATTTAAAGGACCCTTTGAATCATAATAGAAACAAATGTGACTTATCAAGATTTTTTTCAATATTGATAATAAAGGATGGAAATTATATTATCAAATAGATTGATTACTTTAGTGATTTCTGAGTTTTACAGTTAGAGCCATTTATTCTGGTTAGAAAATTGATTTAGCACTCAATTGTAATATACATACCAGCATAATAATTGGTCAGATTGGGAGAATTCTGGGTCAGAAACAAGGAAATTGACCTTAGCCAGTTGGAAGAGGGGGAAAAAATTCCACAAATCATCTGGTTACCATGATGCTACCATCACAGAGCTGTGGAATAGTCTGTACCTGTAGTTTCCCCCATGCCCATTCTAGAAGGGCCAGTAGGAAATAAAACTAATACAATGAATTTGCAAGTCGCCATCCTAATGTAATACCATGGTGTTAGGTAATTGGAATATGTAAATTCTTTTTCAATAATTTCCGTTTCTACTCCAACCAAGAAGTATATTGGAAACAGCTCATGAATATTATAATTAACTGCCTTGCATTTTGCTCCCTTGTATATTTTTATCTTTTCATTGGCACCAGGTAAAATGTGTGGACGGTGAGATAGAAAGAGGTTGATGATGTGGATGGACTTATTGTAAATCTTGGGAGAAAACCTGCATATTGTTTCCTTATATATTCTTTGCTTTTTATTTGGGACCAAGTAACATGTGAGAAATCAGAGGCTTGAGGAAACAGCCTTATTTTGAATCTAAGGATAACATTCTGTTGACATATTGGATTTAGCTAAAAGTTAAATGGCACTCTATTATGCATTTTCTCACTGAAAATTCTACTTTGAAACCTTTAAAGACGAGAAATATTGATAAATCTGTAGACACCCCCAGAACTGTATGTGTAAGGGCTGCTCCTTTCTGAATCGGAGCAAATGCTTTCAGCAGCAGAACCTGCTCTCAGGTCCACGGCCAGCACCAGGTGAGGCCAGGGAATGGGGACGTGCAACACCTCTGGGCTTATCAAGGGGTTAAGACCCGTCCATGCTCGTGGTGGGACACGCTGTGTGCTGCAGACTTAGATATCTTGTTTTTTTTTGTTTTTTCTGATGGAGGCTTTGTAAAAACACCAACCAAGACTGATGACATTTCTTAAAAACTTGCCAGCCAGCATTTTTGAAGAATCAAAAGGTATTATCGCCAATTATCATTTAATGAAGATAAATTTTTCTTCGGCAGCAGGAGACTAAAATAAGGAAGGTTTATGTAGGGAATACGATTGAGGTGGTCAGGTACTGGAAATTAAATTCCTGGTGGATCATACTGTAATTAATTTAAAATTGTAGAGCACCAGGCGGACCCACCTCTTGTTTCCTATCATAATAATAAGACATTCCTCCTGCAGGACAGCCTAGTGTCGAAGTGGAAGAGCACCCAGGGGCCAGCCTTGTCTCAAAATGTCTAAATGAGTGATGCCCTAACACCCAGCTAAGAGGAGGAAATAATGTATCTTCCCAAACAGTGGTGTACTATAGAGTTCAAAACCTCACCCCCTTTTCAGTCTCCAAATGTCTTGGCTACATTTGAAGCTTATGGGAAGAAAAAATAGGGAGAGGATTGAGATAAAAATAAATAAATCTTTTAAAAAGCATGGCAATTAGAAGAGAAACACAGCCCCTCCCCACGCTGCCTGCTGTTCCATGCATGTTTAGGAGGTGGTGTTACTGTCTCTTCCCATTTCTCCCCGTTTTGTGGGGCTAAGAAGACAAATTGCAGTGTGTTCTGCACAGACACTTCCTGTCCAGAAGGAGAGGCCATCTCCGAGCTATCCATTCTCCTGCTCCCCAGCGAAAGCCGCTGCCATCTCAGGGCTGGATTCACTTTGAAGTTTTAATGTGACGTGCAGCCAGCAGATGTTAAGGACGTAGGTGGGACTGTGGAAGCGTCCTGCATGAATTTTTCATAGCCGGCTCCCGCAGCTCAGGTGCACGCCAGAAAAAGAATGGGCTGAGCTCACCCGAGAGTAGACGTTTCTATTCTGAGGTCGGACCCAGGCAGGCTTTATAAACCTGTCAACCCACTTTCGGTTTTCACTTTGAAGATTTTACATTGAGTGAACTTTGGTGGATCAGATCTTCTGAACTGCATTAATACGTGAATAAGAGTTTCTTCTTAAAATCAGAAAAAAAAGGGTAGAGTCGGGAGATGAGAGGAATTCTGCACGATGATCATTGTGCAGATGCCACTCTGCACGCCTTGACACGTCCTCGGTCTGACCCAACGTGTGAGATGGCCAGGGTAATGAGAGCCTCTGGAGGGGAGGAGGGTTGAAAAGGAAGCGGTGCCCATCTCCTTCCCGTGTTTCCACCTCTTTCGTTTTAATGCCTCCTCTTCAAACCACATCCACAGATAGGATATCATTTCAGCCGATCCTCCTTCAGGCTGACAAACCCTTGCTTTTCATTCTGAAGACCACTTAACATTCTTTTGTCCTCTATAATGCTAATTTAACTGCAGACCTCATATAAGTGTAGGAGTTGAAAGTGGATTCCTGAGAATAATGTCTAGGAACAGTCGTCTGAGAGAATCACCCAGTAAAACATGGCTTTTGTGTGCTCAGATAAAATTCTCTCGCATTTTCTTTCTGCCTTAAATATTTCTGGGAGAGGGCGAGGCGGAAGACTTTCAAGTGTACCCTGACATGGGTTGGATTCCCAAAGCAATAGGAACGGTTGGCAATATTACTGGAAGCCTGTCCAGAGACAGGGTCCACACCACAAATGATGAATTTAGAATACAGCTATAGCTTCATACACTGGACTGAACTTCACGGCCAGAATTTTCAGAAACATAAATAGAAAGTGTACTTTATGGTAGAGTAATGAGTTAATTAATCATTTAGGATGTATCAAACCTTCTAAGGGGGCTGTGTAATGAAGCATAAGACATTCTCTGGTCCCGGCATCCTGGAGCTGGTCATGAGCAGAACGGAGTGTACCCTGGGGTCCCTAGAGCAATTCTGTAGGCACTCCATCGGTAAATAAGCCTTGTGCGTTCACCCCTCATACGTGTATACTCAGTTATTTATGAATTTGTAACTATCATACAAAAGCGACGACGGTGAAATAAATGCTATCTTAAGTAACTTTCTCATCAGCAACACCTCACTAATCTCAAAAATAAAACAAGTTATTCTACCAGCAGAAGTGGGTTTATTCAGGAATAACAGAGAATCTAATTCAGGACAAGCAAACTATGGCAAAACCATAGCCAAGTTCAAGAAACAAAACAGGAGTGTTATTTTTGGAGAGCAAGGAAGAAGTTGCAGGGGAATTTGAACAAAAGTATGTTGGAGAAAAGCAAGAGTTCGTGGTGAAGATGTTCCTGACTGGCTGAGTTGGCAGGAATGGTTCATTTATTTTTGTTTTGTTCTGTTATTTAAAGACTATTTGTTTGTTTGAGAAGACAGAGAGTGAGCAGCAGAGGGGCGGGGGGCGGGGCGGGGAGACAGAATTCCAACCAGACTCCCTCTGAGTGCAGAGCCCCATGCAAGGCTCAGTCTCACT